TAGGCTTTTATGCTTAGGTGGGGCCCCCACCTAAGCATAAAAGCTAGAGGCTAGAGGCTATAAGAGATTGATCAATGCTCCACCACTTTGAGATCTGATGCTGTCTGCATACGGTGTCCATCTCCCACGCGTGTGATCATTAAAATCATCGTTTGACTCAACCCGGCCGGGCCAGTGTGATTATTGTGGATTTTCCTCTTGTATCCATCCCCAATATTTGAATCCGTAACAAGACATAATGACTAAAATACATTAGTAATTATTTGGTAATACACATTTTCTAATTATATATTTAGCCATTAATGTGTTTGAATGAAAATTGTTCTATTTTCATTTTTTGTTTGAGACAGTTTCTTCTTTTAAGATACAGTCAAAACTATGTAGAGTTGGTCAAGTGAACACAAAAAGCACAAAACATGGATTATTATAGAAATTTATTCAAGAAATCAAGTCATGGACCATAAGGCTAAGTGGGTGATAGTGAGCTAAGAACAGATTTTCAGAAAATTTACCCTCAAGCCTGCACTCCAAAGGACGTGCCCATTCAACATTGGGTCTCTTGTAGAATGAGATGAGGGCCATGTCCTGATCAGCTACACTTTGTCTGATGTCCATTATGAGACGTAATGGGCTCTCCATTTCATGCATGTCCAAAGCATTCTTTGCACATTCATACTGTATATGGCCTTTGAAGAGTCCAAAACAGCTAACCAGCCTAAAAGAAAATAGAAGTGATTATAATTGGATATAGTCTGTATATCAACTTCTATCTAGATACTATTACAAAAAGATTATGTTTTATCCTTTGAAGGATTGTCTAAAGTAGTTTGAATATGAGGCTATCAAAAATAAGAAATCCATTGAATGGATACAAACTAATGGTTTGATTTCCGGGAGTTGTTCACATTAGCTGTTGATTGTTACTAATCAACACCTTCCTTACATAACCTGTGACTAAATGATTGACCTACCATCCCTGACTTCACAAGTAGTTCCAGATGGGCCTGGCATATCTGCTAGCCCTTCCTCAATTACTGTATCTTCATGCCCCTTTTCATTTCATGAGCTACTATCAAAATATGTTGTTAAATTTCATTCAAGGCTTAAATCCAATGACAAGAAAAATTGCAATTTTTGTTGCTAAATACCTTTCTCCACATGAAGAGGCATGCAGCTCAATGAGGTCAGAGGGAAACATATCTGTGCAGACGGGACACTGCTGCAATGGTGCTGTTGTGCAATAAATTTTAAAGGACAAAGTTTATTTTTATAACATTTAATTTTTCCTTCTAGCTAGCTCTTAACACTGTATGCTTTTGGGTAATATGTTAGTATGAAATTGTCAAAAAACCTACATTCCTTTTCTGTAGGTTCATCACCATCTAAATTCACCACAGTACTTTCACTGGGAGTTTCCAAAGGAGGACAGGATTTTAGGTGTTCTGACAGAAGTTGCAGTGGAACACCTATGCCACACTTCTGGCATTTTGCTTTTGGCATGCATCTGAAGGACTCATCGCTTAGTGG